CCTAATATTTTAATAGCTCTTTCTTAATATATGGGATTGAAATGTGTTTGGGCTCTTACTCTACTCTCTGACCATTGGGGTGATAGCCCTGTACTACCCACCCTTTCTATAGTTTTAATTGGGCCAATTTCTTATTGTGGCTTTGCTGTTTACTTTGTTGGCTTTGTAGTATGTTTTCACAATGTGATTCCGACAAAAATGTTTTTAACAAATTAATCTCTGTGCATAGCAGTGTTTAGTGCTTTTTGCAAAGGAAAACTTGCATTCTTGGTTTAGGCCTAGACTTGCCTGTAGTTACTGACATGCAACTAATGCTGGTTTAATTTATGTATCGTTACTGGGAGGCTCACCAGTCTCTCCCTGTACTATTCCATCACGCAAGGATTCTATCCATTCATACGCTTTTTTATACTTGGTGAGAAACTTAAAGATACAGAACAGTCTGTTGGTAATTGCCTATCTATCCCATTCTTTCATTGTCTTGATGGCCCCTTTTTCTGAGTAATTCTTCTGAATCCCCTTCTCCCAGGCTTCTTGGAAGACTCACCAGAGATCTGAAATGAGTCGCTTCTAAAAACACTCCAAATATTAGTCTAAACTTTTTGAATTCTGCTGCATAGTGCAGTGTTGGTGTGGTGTCGTGGGTTTCGGGTTCAATGGGTGAAGGGTGAAGGGTGTGTGTTTGTGTTTATTTTCATGGCCATAGTCATGATGTGCACTGAAGATGGTGTTTGATTTCGTTGTACGAGGTGCAATGACAATAAAGTAAACTAAACTAAACTAAAAAGTAAACTAAACTAAACCCTTAGGGATCCTACCTATTTTAGAGAAATGGGGAAAATATGGATCTTTCTATATTTAGAATAGAATAGAATAGAATAGAATAGAATGGAATGGAATAGAATAGAATGGAATGGAATAGAATGGAATAGAATAGAATAGAATAGAATAGAATAGAATAGAATAGAATAGAATAGAATAGAATAGAATAGAATAGAATTCTTTATTGGCCAAGTGTGATTGGACACACAAGGAATTTGTCTTTGGTGCATAAGCTCTCAGTGTGCATAAAAAATACATTCATCAAGAATCATAATATACAACACTTAGTGATAGTCATAAGATACTAAATAAGTAAACAAATCTAAATAAGTAAAGAAATTAAATAAAACAATACAAATTGTAAGGATACAAGCAACACGGTTATAGTCAAAAGTGGGAAGAGGTAGATACTAGGAAGGATGAGAATAATAATAGTAATATAGTCTTAGTAAATAGTTTGACAGTGTTGTGGGAATTAGTTGTTTAGCAGAGTGATGGCATTCGGGGGAAAAACTGTCCTTGTGTCTAGTTGTTCTGGTGTGCGATGCTCTATAACATCGTTTTGAGGGTAGAAGTTGAAACAATTTATGTTCAGGATGTGAGGGGTCTATAGATATTTTCACAGCCCTCTTTTTGACTCGTGCAGCATATAGGTCCTCCATGGAAGGCGGGTTGGTAGCAATTTTTTTTTCTGCAGTGTCCATTCATTGGATCAGCTGAATTTTGAAGTCGACTTTTCATGTGCGAAGGCTAAATTAATTGTCTTAATATTTACAGTTCTAAGCAGATAAGATCATTTGGGAATCTAGTATTCTGAATGTGCAGGCACACACACAGGCCAAGCTAGCAAAATAAAATAGAATAAAATGAGCTGAGGCAGAGAATTAAGTTTGTGTCCATCTTTGTAATTCCATTGTCTGTCTGTAGGTGTCCTCACTTTCCCTCTTTCTAAAGCCATTTTCACAAGTGTCTTAACAATAAGAGTCACAGACGAAAACTTGGTAATATTAAATGTTTCATAAATAAAAAGTTTATCATTCCCAAATCTGCTATCCATTTCTTACATTTGCATTTCCTACCAAGTTTAATCCCCATATTCCATTTTAATATTCCTATTATTTCCCAGACAAAAAAACAAAAGCAACTCATTTAATTTTAGGCAATTGGATGGATTAAAAACAAAGGGTGGAAACAGGAGCAGAGTTTTGGGGAATGAGCAGAAAATCCTCAACTTTCATTGGTGGGCCCCAAGGATAACTTGATTATTATCATTTAATAATTATAATAATTATGATTATTATCATTTAATGATACTAAATGATACCGGTATAGGATGCTGCTGAAAAATATGGCAAGACCAGAAGTGTGCTAGTCTTATCCAGGTCCCTATTCAAATTCTAAATATGAACAGCCGATGAGATTTTCATTACATGCCAAAGCCTGAAGCTGAACTAAAAGGGATCTAGATAATCTCGGATTTAACAATTGTAGCAACATTTCTTTAAAAGAGAAGATTTGGAATTTGTACGACGGCTGTAAGAGGAGCGCAGGCAGAACGAAGGGGTGGCATTAAGCAGGTCATCAGCCTAGAATCATTAAGTTCCCATAAATGGTTCAAGTCCAACACCTCTTGAATTCCGTTGACTTTTATCTGGTGCCAATTTAATATTGAACTTTTAGTTGACTATTATTATGTATAGGCTTGAGCAATAAGTCTTCTGAATTGGAACTTATATCGTACCCTGATCCTTCCTGCCTGACAGTGTCTGAGTTGAGTAATAGTTTATTGCGGAGGGGGGTGAGCTGACATTTTCTTCAATGGTTGGTGGCCACACCCCATTCCTCAAGGTGGCATCACTGCCTCCCTCAACTAACACGTTACATTCCCTCTTTGATCAACTGAACAAGCCAGGAGGAACACAGGTTGGATTTATAACTAGTAGAACTCATTCCACAGAGAACCTTGTCCATTTCTTTCTCCATGAAATATTAGTTGATGGGTTTGTGCCAAAAGAAGTAAGACTTTGCTAGATACCAGGTCCTGAATTATATATAAGACTTCATGTATCCTTAAGAATACTTTGAACATGGGAGCAGCTAGTACAGTGGTTCTGGAACAGGGAATCAAACTCAAGGCCCAGGGGCCGGATCCAGCCCATGGGGTACTTAGATCTGGCCCTCAGGCCTGCTCTGGAAACAGTGAGGGATCGGCCCGCAGGGCCAGCAAAACAGGAGGCTTCCCGAGCTCCATTTTCGGTGGCTGAGGGCTGCAGGAGGCCATTGTGGCCAAAAACAGATGAGGGACGTCGAGATTGCCATAGCCACCCTGGCCACAACCACCCGCCCCCCCCCACAAGGTCAAACAGAACCCTGTTACGGCCCTCAGTGAAATTGAGTTTGCACCCCTGTTCTAGAACATACCTTGGCAGCGGCGGGGGGGAGGGGAACAGGGCATCAGTGGCACTAGGGGTGTGGGGCACTGTTGCAGGGGCAGGGCAACAGCAGCCCTCAACGACAGTCCAAGATTTTCATACGATCCCTTGGGAAAATTAATTGCCCACCCCTGTTCCAGAATAAAGTTTCATTTGGGGCCAGTTACTCCCTTGAGACCAGCTAGAACATCTACGTCAAACTCTGAGCCGTATCACCCCGTTACAGTATGATAGTCTCAAGAAGAATATTTGTAGCTTAGGGTTGACATGAGGGGATCTTGATACTTTCTGGGCTTGCTTGCTTTTTTGCAGACGTTCCATGACCCTAACTAGGTATCAATGCCATGATGATGTACATCACTGCAGCACTGGTGAGGTTACTTAGTTTGGGTAATGAAACATCTGCCGGAAAAGAATCAAGTTCAGAGACCCTTCGTGAAATTGCTAAATAGATGCAACTATAGAAATATTAAAAGGGACGCGGCGGCTCAGTGGCTATGACACTCAGCTTGTCAATCAGAAAGGTCGGCGGTTTGAATCCCTAGCGCCATGGAACGGAGTGAGCTCCCATTACTTGCCCCAGCTCCTGCCAACCTAGCAGTTCGAAAGCATGTAAAAATGCAAGTAGAAAAATAGGGACAACTTTGGTGGGAAGGTAACAGCGTTCCGTGCATCTTCGGTGTTTAGTCATGCCGGCCACATGACCACGGAGACGTCTTCGGACAGCGCCGGGTCTTTGGCTTTGTAATGGAAATGAGCACCACCTCCTAGAGCCAGAAGCGAATAGCACATATGTGCGAGGGAAACCTTTACCTTTACCTATATAAATATTATTTGTTTTTTAAAAATGAACCCTCCCCCTGGTAAGGCCCCCAATTCTAGCAAAGAAGCAATCATGTCTATGTCTTGTTCCCTTCTTCTCATAGCCGTCGCCAAGAAGAACTTTGAGCTCCTATATACCGTAGCGCAAATCATTTTTTAAAATTCCTTTCGTTTCAAAAACTAGTTTGGTATACCACTCTCTCATTTCGTGCATGGCAAGTGATTATGAGAGGAGCTGGCTCAAAATTTTATGAGCCGATTTAATAAACGTATGAGAGAAATAGCAAAGACAGGGAAGGGGTTTGGGGTGTTAAGCCTGGATTCCCCAACGGGTGTTAAGGAAAATAAACTAAACAGAACGTGCAGCGAAGTCAGATAGGAAGACAGGTAAATGTGTGAGATAAGTTTTCTAGTTAACACGCAGTAAAAATACAGATACGCTTGTGCTATCAAAAATATAGTTTATTCCATTTAAGAATTATAGCATAGTCAAATAAACGGTCCATTAGTCATATATCTATTTCAGTCAAGTCTTGTCGGGGATACTCTATTTGCAAAGTCCGTGTTGAATAGCCAATGTCAGTTCACTTACAATAAATCAGTCCAAACTTTATATTCTCTCCGTTGAGAAAAATCAACACTCCTTCTTCTCTCCCTGTTCTAGCAAGAACGCAGTCATCAATCCATCAAGTAATTAGGGATCAGTAAGCCAGAGAGAGAGAGCTGAAATTGCCTCGCTTCTTATATAGTGCTTTTACAACCACACCCTTAATTACATTCTTGCTGTTAAAGTTACACACACTTTAACTAACAAACCATGATACCTTATTTATTATTTTTACCCAAACCAGTTAGGGTAAACAATGTTATCCCTAACATGGGGGACTTTTCTGATGTCAATTTTTTTGCTTTCTGTTTTTCTAGGGACACTTGGCAACAAAGAGGTGTATGTTTTTAATCTCACCTCCCTCACAAAGTCTGAAAATATCTTGTCTGCTCTGTTGCATTACTACGTTGGAGATCTCCAGAACGGCAGCACCAACTGCTCTCAACCCAACAGCTGCTCTCTTCTGGGCCCCAGAAAATCTGACCTACAGATCAGGCTTTTGCTGTTGAGTTCCCCATCATCAGCAAACCAATCACGAACCCTGGGCCGTTACTTGGTCAACGTCTCCGCTGCTTTACAGGATGACCATTTGTGGCAATGCAAAAACATTACTCAGGACTTGAAGCGAGCGAAGGAGCACAACCATCTTATGATCGGGGTCCAGATGGCCTCCGTTGGCCAACCTCCACGGAAGAGCCTGCAGCTCAGCTATGAACCGTACATCCTCATCTACGCCAACGACTCCGCCATTTCAGAACCAGAGAGCGTGGTTTCCAGCTTGCAAGGTCATTGGAATCCACCACCGGGGCCTTTCCCCAAATTGGATAGCCGGTCAATCAATGACCTCAGCGGACAGCGGGCGAAACGTTCCACCAGTTTTCTTCTGCCCTTGCAGAACAACGAGCTTCCGGGAGCTGAGTATCAGTACAGCGAGGACGAAGGGTGGGAGGAGAGGAAGCACTACAAAACCCTGCAGCCACGGCTGGCGGAAAGGTCAAAGGGTAAGAAAAAGCCCAGAAAACACAGTCATCAGAAGAGCCAAATACTCCAGTTCGACGAGCAGACCCTGAAGAAGGCGAGGCGGAAGCAATGGAATGAACCGAGATCTTGCTCAAGACGCTATCTCAAAGTTGATTTTGCAGATATAGGCTGGAATGAATGGATCATTTCTCCTAAAGCTTTTGATGCTTACTACTGCTCAGGTGAATGCCAGTTCCCTATTCCAAAGGTACTGTATCTCTAGTTTTCTTTTATCTTTCTTTTTTTCTTAAAAAAAAAGTTATGTGTTTTTTTTCTTTACCGCTGGGTACAATACAAAGAAAATCCTCTCTTTTAAAACTCCAAATGTGGCTTTGTTGAAAAATATCAATTAAAAAAAACCCAGCTTGCTTGTTATTAAACTACAGTACAGCATGCAGGAAATGGGCCATTTACTAGATAGATAGGATAAATAGAGATATGTTTTAAGGGCCACTGCTGCCATAAACTAAGCACAAAGGCAAAACTGGTAGATGCAGGGTTATAAAAAGAAAATTGCAGGGGTGAAATGCATCAAATTTTACAGTAAATCCTGAGACACTGTCAATTTCTTGCTGCATAATAAGGATGCCTCAACTCTTAAAATGCCAATTTATTTAATCGCTCCGAATCCCATCTCCTGGGTGCCATTTTCTAAAAATATAATAATGTTTAATTCTTTGGGAAAGTTGCAGCTTCTTCCTAAAATACGCTGTTCTGAAAAATAAATACTCTGTATTGATTTAGAATGCCACAGGCCATGAGAAATCCACAGGGATTAAATTGCAACCCCAACTTTCAGCAGCTTAGATTATGCACAGTAGTTCAGTCAAGTCCTTTGAATCGATGTCATGCAGATTCTCTCGTATCTCAAGGGCGTGCAGTCCTTCCATTTCCTCCAATGTCAACAAGGCTCAGCTGATGAAAAGTCCAGAGGAATTTCTTGAAACTCATCAATAATTCTCCCAATTAGAAAGCAAACAAAGGAAATATTCCATAAGTCATAAAATCAGTTCCATTCTTATAACTTGCAGGGTTGGCAATGGTGCAAGGAAGCTGTTTAAAGAAAATACAGGTAGTTTTCAAATTACAATCACTTGTTTAGTGACTGTTCAAAGTGACCCATGGCCATTTTTTCACACTTACAATCACTTCACCTTTGCAATCAAGATTTGGATGCTTGGCAACTGATTCATATTTATGATGGTTGCAGCATCTTTTGTGTGTTTGTGTGTGAGTGTGTGTGTGTGTGTGTGTGCGTGTGTGTGGTGTGATCCCCTTTTGCAACCTTCTGACAAGCAAAGTCAACGGGGAAGCCAGATTCACTTAACAACCATGTTACTTAATTAACGACCGTAGTGATTCACTTAACAAACCATGGTAGGAAAGGTCATAAAAAGGGGCAAAACCTCATTTAACAACTGTTTTGTGTAGCAGTGGAAATGTTGGGCTCAATTGTGGTCATAGGTCGAGGACTACCTGTATTAAGATGATCTCAAATGCACCCAGCAACCAAGCACCAGGTTGGTATTGAGATGGCGTTAATGGATAAAGTCAGAAGAATTGAATAATCCTAAAATAGCAATAGCACTTAGACTTATATGCTGCTTCACAGTGCTTCCCAGCCCTCTCTAAGCAGTTTACAGAGTCAGCCTCTTGCCCCCAACAATCTGGGTCCTCATTTTACCCACCTTGGAAGGGTAGAAGGCTGAGTCAACCTTGAGCCTGGTGAGAATCGAACTGCCAAATTGCAGGCAGCCAGCAGTCAGCAGAAGTAGCCTGCAGTACTGCACTCTAACCACTGTGCCACTGTGGCTCTTTTTGGCCACTGCACCTCTGGGTCATTATGTTCCTATAAGGCCCAAATTAAGCAGAATTTACAAGCCGTGCTTTTCAAAAATACTTTAAAATCAGGAATGTATTCAAAGCACAATAGCATTCATTTAACTCTGATGGCATTCTCAGAGATATTCAGACTACGTATGTACATTCCTATAGGAACTGACCAGACTGAAAGGGCATTTAAGACATCGTGCTAACCATTTAAAATACATAATCAAGCAATTGCTTTGCATATAGACAGTTGTACACCAGAAATGCACAACTAGTTTTAGAGCACGCGTAACCTTTGGGGAGTGTTCCTGAGTAAAGACAATAAAAAGATGATGTCATCTGGAGAAGAATACACTAGGTGCCATTCAGATTTCATTAAAGTAATGAACTGCGTTGATGGCCCACCCTTATTCGTCATTTTCCTCCTCTGCCACGTTCAAAAAAAAACACATCACAATTTGGTGGGAACATTTGGAGGTTGTTTGCACCCTCACATTAGGCAGTTTCATTCAGGGGTGGGATGCTACCGGTTCTGCCTGGTTCTATAGAACTGGTAGCTCTGAAGAGCAGCAGGCACCGAAACAGTTCTGTGTTCACTGCTGTTTGGCCCACCTGGGCTCTTACCTGTCCTTTATTTCCTGCTTTTTCAACCTCAGCTACTTTGGGCGGCACAGCTGAGGTTGAAAAAGCAGGAAAAAAAGAGGCTTTTCAAATGCTGTGCGCCTGCATGCAGTGCTTTTCAGCTGTCTGGGTGGCACAGCTGATGGTTTTCTTTACACGCGCACACAGCTTAGTCACCAAACCGGTAGTGTAACACCGATTGAATCCCACCCCTGGTTTCATTGTATTTCAACCTATTGCCATGTTGGTTAATGTTTGTATTATGTCAGGGCTTTATATGTTCCTTTCCTTCTCCAGTTCCACATATTCAGCTGGACACTTCCATGCCAGGGTGCACTGAGAATGTATAGTCACCAAAATATATTTATTCAGTTTCACTGCAGACTTGCTAACATTTCAGGGTAGCAAGAGAATATTAATGAATATTAGGCTCCATGCCTCTGGAATGCAAGCAGGTACCTTAATGAATTAGCGGCAGGCTGCGTTTGCAAGAACATCTTCTGAATTGAAGCGGATGTGAGAGGCAGTGTTTGGAAGCTGAGTTCCACGAAGGGCAGAATTTCACTGCCTTGAGTTCCAGGCGTGACTCAATCTGAAACAAGTGTTTTTCCCATACCTAAAACCGGCATCTGTCTGGACCGTTTATTTTTTATTATTGTTATTAGTTTATAATATAAAATACAAGAATGCAAAAGCAAATAATAGGAAAAATAAGGGAGGAAAAAGGGAAGAGAAAAGCATAGAGAAGAAGTAAAGAAGAAAGAAAAGGCGTTGACTTCCAACTCCCTTTTGTGCAACAGAATAAAATAGTAATATCAAACCTCAACTTTTTTACTTTCACATAATAGTTTAAACTAGGCGTTTCTATAGCAACAGATCAATCTAATCAGCAAAACCTAAAATCAAACTTTCATTTTTCCCCGCACCTTGTTCTGACCCAAACTTTGTTCCAAGGACACAAACACAAAACGGGGGTAACAGCAAAACCTTTTAATGATTCTTTACGAATTCCATTCCTTCCCGGTTAAAAGGATGTTTCAAACTAATTGTCTCTGATAAGAACAAGCCTTGCCAAAGTTGTGCAAGGCTGCCAAGAATACTAGATAAAGTTGCCAAGAAATATTTCAAACACAAAGAGTCTCCAAACACAAACTAAGAGAGTCCAAACATCCACAAGGCTTGAGTGCAAAAACTTCTTTGCTTCCTGCAAAGAACTCTGGTTTCTCAGCTGGCTTTTATCTCTTAAGGGAGGGGCCATTACCTTGCAGCCTTACTCCCGAGTCGCCCATGCTGCTACAGCTGCTTGTTCCTTCAAGCAGCCCTGCATGCACGCACATTGGGCACAAGCTCCTCGGGGTCCTCTGCATCACTGCTGCCAGCCTCCACAATCTCCGAAGGCAGCCTTCCACTCCCTGATGATCCTGGCCCCATCCCTGCATCACATGCAGGCCTTTCATCCGAGTCCTCGCTCTCTGAGACCTCAGCTGTCCGTACCTGTTGCCGGCGAACCACAACACACCTCAGGCACAAAGTCCAGAAGCGGCTTCCAAGTAGAAGCGGTTTCTTTTATCAAAGCAATCAATTTAGCCATCTGTACTAACTCCATCAACTTCTGCAACCATTCATCCATTGTGGGGATTGAACTGTCCTTCCATTTTTGTGTATAATCTTGTTGCCATCAACATATATCTGTCTGGACTGTTTCAAAGGAATTCTGCAGTGTGATGGCACAGGTGTTGAGGTAATTCCCCGTTAGAATGAACGCATACAGGGAGACGTAGTGAGAGAAGTGAAGAATAACACACACACAGCACACAGATACACTGTACAGTAAATGTAGGTTTTTGCTTCCCATAAACGTTTAAGCTAAGTCCAAACAAGCAGTCCAAGTCATTCACAGGTAAAGCAGTCAGTGTTCAGTTCAGGGATAATCCAAATATCAAAGTCCAGTATCAAAAACAGTTCAGTAACAGACTTACATCAACGATCAGTAACAGTCATTAGGAGGAACAGCAACACTCTCCAATAGAAGGAAACAGAGACTCACACTGAGACTAAAACAACCCAGGTTTCTGGCTCCATCTTATGGCCGTTTGAGAAAACACACCCAACTACAATTTTTGCATTTTCTTAAAGATACAATATTAAAATGTCTATCCTGGTTTATATATTTCCAACTCAAATACCTGTTAGGCGACTTACATTCCTAACAACAGGCCTTAGGGCTTTAATGCTTAGCGGCTTGCGGAATTAATTCCAGATGCTTTGAAGTTACCATTATTACTGAGGACCCTGAGCAATATCTGTACAAAATACTTTTTTGAAGTTTTTAAATATCAATAGAAATCAAGGCCTTGACAGAGGCAATTAAGGAGAAATTTCCTGACAATTAGAACAATTAAATCATTTAATAGCTTGCCTCCAGAAGTTGTGCGTTCTCCATCACCAGATGACTTTTAAGAAGAGATTGGACAACCATCTGTCTGAAATAGTGTAGGCAGGGGTGGGCTTCAAAAATTTTAGCAATGGGTTCTCTGCCTGGTTGCTGGGTGGGTGTGGCCATGGTGGGCGTGGCCTAGTCGGCCTCCTGCACCACGGCGGGGGGGGGCGTTTTTGCCCTCCCTGGGCTCTGGAGGCTTTCCTCGAGCCTCCAGGGGGGTGAAAACGGCCTCCCCGGGCTCCGGAGGCTCTCTGGAAGCTGGAAATGGGCCCATTTTTGGCCTTCCCAAACTTCCAGGAGGCCTGTTCTTTGCCCTC